AGAACTAGTTACAAGGGTACTTTACGACAGTATTTTTATAATAGTTAATAAACTTATAAAAATAGCCTACTTTATACTATTTAAGGAAGCTAGTAATATAAAAGAATTAGCTTATGTAATAATAAAATACGTTATAAGTAACTATAAACTGCCAGGAGATATAATCTCCGACAGAGGAAATATATTTATATTTAAGTTCTAAAAAGCACTTACAGCTAGACTAAGAATAAATTATAAGGCTAGCACAGCCTACTACCTATAGATAAATAGACAGACAGAAAGGATTAACTAAATAATCAAGACTTATTTACGCTACTATATTAATTTTAAGCAAAACAACTAGGTAGAACTCCTCCCTATTATATAACTTACTTCTAATAGTATGGAATTAGAATTAACTGGGAAATTACCGTTCTTCTTAAACTATAGATTTAAACCTAAAGCTTACTAACCGCCAAGGTAAGGGGAAAATATTAAAAAAGCTATAATTAAAGTAGAAGATATAATTAAATTATATAATAAACTATGGTAATAATTTAAATTTATCTAATAAAGGATAATTAAATATATAAATAAAAATAGGATTAAAAAACTAACCTTTTAGGAAGGGGGTATAGTCTAGTTATACTAATATATATAAGAAAATAAATAAGTAAACATTAAGATAAATAGGCTAAGTAATAAACTTAATTTTAAAAAACTTAAACCTTATAAAATTTTAAGAAAAATTAAAGAAGTAAACTATAAACTTAAACTTCCAGAATAATAAGAAAAACAAGGAAAACATATATATCTAATATTTTATATCTCCCTATTAAAAAAAGCATAAATTAACAAAGAAATTAAAAGATTTATCTAGGACGAAATTATTATTAAAGGAAAAGAAGAAGAATATAAAATAAAAGATATTAATATAATAAAAACAGGAGAAAACAGTAAATAATACTATAGGGTATAATAAGAAAAAAAGGAAGAAAAAGAAGAAATATAAGAACTTATTAAGTATCTTAAGAACTTAATAATGGTAGTAGAAAAACTTTATTAAAGCCTAGGGATTACACTAGCTTAGGATTTAATATTAATATCTTTAAATAATCTACTAATTTTAAAAAAGCAGGAATAACCTTAGAAAAACCCTCTGCTAACTACGCTATAGCAGCTTAACAAGCAGCCTCCGCTTCCTTACGTTTAATCCTATTTAACTCCTTTAAATTATTAATACCCTGCGTAATTACATAAGTTATCTTCTCTAGCTACAGACGTTTCTATTTATAAAAATATTTAATCTTTACATTAACTATTTTACACTCCTCTTCAGCCTCTTTAAAAGTATTTTTATACTAAATATAAAATAAAGTAATTTTTTAAAGCTAAGCTAATAATAATGGACGTATATTACATAAGGATTTATTATCCTTTATATATTTAGTATAATAAGTAAAATTATCCTTAGATATTTAATACTTTAAGAAGCTTTACTTTTTCTTATTAAAATAATATATATAGTCTTTTATTTTAATAAAATAAAATAAGATAATTTCTAAAAGAATATTATAATACTTTATCTTAGGATAAGATTTTTTATAAATACCTAATATAATAATTAATAAAGATACATAAATATAAGGGAAAAATAAAGATACTAATAAAACTAGGGGGAAGTAACTACTTATACTAAATACAGCAAAGTCTTAAGAATAAGACTAACAGAAGGAGGATATTATATTACAACCCAACTCTTAAAGTTGCGACAATAGGCTAATAGGTTAGCCCGGACTAGATTAACTTTAATCCTTTAACTAATTAAGGAAGGATTAAAACATAACTTCTTAATCCAACAGCGGATTAATAAACCATCCATTAATCTAGGGAAGGATTAATATTCTATACATTAATCTAATCCAGGTTAACTAGATATATAAGTTTACTTTATATCACTTATTAAAATACTTAAATAACCAGTTATTATTAATACAGCATTTATAATATAATTAAATTAGAACTTAGACATCTACTCTTATTTATATTATTAGCTAGTAATAAAATTGCTCGTTTACCAACCTGATCGCTCCGCCAACATAAACCATAGAACCATTCTAAGGTTTGTCCCTTAGGAACAGCTAACCCATAGGCCCCGGTTCATCACACTAAATATAAAAAATATAAGCCTTATGGAAAACTATAACCCCTGCTAATATCTAAATTACTATAGGAAACAGTTACCTTTAATTATATTATAAACCTACTACTTTTTAAAAAACCTTTTACTAAGGTAACCTATAATAGTATCTTAGTAGTAGTAGATAAATTTACAAAGTAAGTATACTTTCTGCCTTATTAAAAATCATACTTAGTAAAAGATCTTATATATATATATTTAAGAATAATAGTAGTTAATTATAGTATACCCTAAGAAATTATCTTTAATAGAGGATAAACTTTTACCTCTAAGTTTTAGTAAAAACTTATAGTAAGACTTAGAGTAAACTATAAACTTAGCAGTATATACTATCCTAAAATAGATAGTTAAATAAAGTAAATAAATTAAATTATTAAGTAATACCTAAGATATTTTATTAATCTATAGTAAAATAATTAGGTTAATAAACTACCTTTTATATAGTTATATTATAATAGTATAAAATCTAAATCTACTAAGTTAATACTATTTTACGCTTTATATAAATATACTCCTTTAATATATAGGCTACTTTAAAAGGGACCTAACGCTAATAAAGTATAACTTTAAGCTAAATTAATAATTAACTTATATAAAGAACTTAAAGTACAGCTAGAACTTATTTAAAAATATATAAAATATTATATAAATAAAGATAGGATTAAGGGACTAACCCTTTAAGAAGAGGACATAATCTACCTACTTTAATATATATAAGGCTATAAAATACTAAACATTAAAATAAACTAACTAAACAATAAGCTTAATTTTAGAAAAATCGGCTTATTTAAAATTTTAAAAAAAATCAGTAACGTTAACTATAAGTTAGAAATACTAGAAGGTATATAACTAAAATACCCTATGTTTTATATATTACTCTTAGAGAAAGTATAAATTAATAAAGTAATAGGAAGATTAATCTTAGATAAAATTATTATTATTAAAGATAAAGAAGAATAAGAAGTTAAAAAAGTTTTAATAATATAAAGGAATTTAAAAGAAAATAATAAGATAAAATACTAAGTTAGGTAGAAGGGATATAATCTAATTTATAATACTTAGGAACCTATTAAAAGCTTTAATATAATAGAACTAATCTAAGACTTTTAAAAAAACTTAGGATTACACTTAAAACTCTTAACGCTAGCTACTTAAAAATAAACTTAAAAGATAAAAAAGAAGCTTTATAAGTTTCCTCTTATATTATAGGAAGACTTAGAGCTTTATACCCTAAATTAAACACTTAGGAGGAAAGATTAATAGCAACCTTAGAAGGATTTAGGAAAGTATTACTAAAAACCATATTTTAATTAATAATATTTACAGCTTCTACTGCTTAAATATTAATTACCGCTTCCGACTTTACTTTTTCCGCTTTATCTAGCTTATTAAAAGAGCAAGCGCTATAATAAAGCATTTACTTACCTTAGATATTAATTTATTTCCGCTGCTTTCGTAATTAAGCTAGTTAGGAAAACCTTTTATTTATTTATTAAGTTAATAATATTATCTATTGCTATTATTAAAATAACTCCTATTTAGTCTAATGCTCTTTAGTATTTAAATACTTTTTTTTAGTAGCTAATTATTATACTAATTACTAATTAAAACATAAAACCCTGTACTACTGGAATTTACTTACTAGCTGCTAAAGAAATCCTATTCCTATTATAAAAACGACTATAATACATATACTCCTTATATTACTTATAACCTTTTACTATTTTATAAAGAAGATTCTTTACTTTATAATAAGAATAAGGTATAATAATAATATTAATAATTTTAATTACTAATACTACCGTTTTCTAATTTTTTATTAACTTTTTTTTAACTAAAGGCTGCTGCTATTTAATAATACTATAAGGTATTTTATAAATAAAGAACCTCTTTCGGAAATATAAGGGGATATCTTAACTTATATAGGTCTTAGGGATAAAACTAATGGAAAGGAGGTACTATATTATAACCTAATCTAAAGTATATACCTACTAAGTAAAGTACGGAGGAAATAATTAATTAAGACGAGCCTCTAAAGGCTTACTAAGATACGTACTTAGTAGTACGTAAGCCTTAACTCCAAGGTAACAGGCTTACTAGGTATAAAGAGACTTTATAAAGTAAGTTATCTAAAACAACTGGATATATAAGATTTAATTCTCTATGTTTTTTAGATAACTTAGATAAATAGTTGTTAACAAAGCATTAAGATTAAATATAGACTAAATCTTTATTATATCTTACTCGCTTTATAATTATATCTACTTAAAGCTACTTCCTATCCTCTCTACTAACATAAACTAATTAACCTTGGCTTATTACCTTAGGAACTTACCCTATACTACTTAAGTATTGGGTCAGGACGTCACAATATATCTTCTCAAAACGTAGTTAAAACGGAGGTAACTACATAATAGCCACATCTAAACATTCAGAAAGCCAAGCCAGGTAATGAAAATGCTAATACAAAGTGATTCTTAGTTTAACGATCTCTCTATAGTCCGCAAACCGGAAATAGTCATATGCCCAGCTGAGAGCAGGGTTGGCCATTGCATTTATAGTCTCTTAACGCCTTATGTTTATTTCGTGTGATGCTACTTTAACAATAGGCTTTTTTTAACTAATTCAATACTTTTTATTACGCACGCCTAAAGATAAGGTTTCTAATGCTTTCTTCTCTTTTCTTATTGCAATAAGTTAAGGGTTTTGCCTCCACAGATTCTCATAAAGCTTGAGGGCGATCTAGTTTACTTTATTCTCCCAGTCCCCTATTCTATTTATAACTTAAGACCATATGCATATACGCAGCTGTAAAACTCATTTATTTAGTTTGGATATTTCTATACTGGTTCATTGTTAACATATCTAGATATGTTTCTATTCTATGCAGTTAGTATATGTTTTCTCTTTATACAAGCATCGTAAAAGAGCACGTACCTGTCAACTTCCATCGGGAGTAGGCAAATTTGAGAGCCTCTTGTATAGTTTCTTGAGCCTGGAGTCTGTTTGATGGAGTATTCTTGTTGGAGGGTCGACAAAAGTGAACAAGTGCCTGATAGCTCCAGTGCAGAGACAGCGGAGATGATTCAAGAATTGGAAGCTCAGTCCCACTGAGAATCTTCTTTGAGTAATTCAAAAATCTGTCAGAGAGCTGGTCCATTGCATCCCAAGCTAGGGCAGAACGATATTTAGTGGCTATGCTCTCATTGGCTGGATATAACCAAGGAACATGAAGGAGTGCAAGACCGCTTAAAGTGATTAACAACGTTAGCTTGAATCTATGTGTATCGCGGTATGGTAACATAAACCTTTGGCATAATGCAGTCTGGGTGCAAATTCTCATCTCCCTTCGATTAGTCTCGCTTTCTGTAAAAGCCACCAACGCTCGGAGAGCCTTATCTAGTTGAATAGCTTCTTCGCTGAGTGCATCAGAGAACGTAGCACTGTCTTGCAGATGCTGCAATACTCGATCTAGGAGATAAGTTGCCTGGGATAGACGGGCAAATCTACCCATATTTATATTACTCGGTGCAGACACAGTCATTGAATATCTTGGCACCATGACCTATCGAGACTTAGAGCTAATCGTCTATATGATATGGGAGAGTACTGCTATACCTCCTTGTCCCATGCTGCATCATCGATAGGTAGTAATTCATCTTGTCTAGGCCCTGTGGTGATAATTCGGCGTTGTCGACAGCCTAACGAGATGTATCTAAAAGAGGTCAACAACAATAAAAAGAGTGAAGGGCAGTTCGTAATACTTGAGAAGAAGAAGAATTAAAAAATAAAGCATGAAAAAAAAAAAGGCCTAATTACGGCACTTACCGCTCTAATATGACGATAGCCCACCAAACCCGGCGTCGCTCTTCAGATTCGATCCAATCTTGATCACCATCTCTCCAAGACGTTGTTTTCCACTCAAGGCCTAACGCAGCAGCATACTGAATACAAACACTAATAGAGGCATAGGCGGCAGGGTAGATGGCGTGTCCAATCTCATATATTGTGATTAGGATAGCGGCCTGCAGGATTGGAAGACTCAACGTCCCGGATATTTCCAAACCGTATAAAAACTGCCGAGCTGCAATATAGGTTGTGGTATGCGGATCTGAACTGCTAGCCGTTGGTAACCACAAATTTAGTTTCATAGCCAGGCAGAGGAGGGCCACATCGGCGCGGTCAAAACTAAGTGGGTTCAAAAGAGTGTTGAAACACCGCGGATTTGAGACAATAGGCATCCATAGATGGATAGTTGCAAAATACTGAGATGCAATTGTATGCTGCTTCATATAGTCACCGATTTCGGCGGATACGTAGGACGGCACCTCAAGACTCGCCGGTGGAAGTTTGGAAGAGGATGCGCTAAATAGGTCATAATCAAGGAAGAAAGCCGGTGGAAAGCGATTTGTTTGGTTACTAGTAAGCTTGACCTTCTTGTCTGGATAATAGCATGGCAGATTTCTCCTATTTTGTATTTTAGTCTGGACTCCCGAATTGTTGTGGCGATCTGAAATTGCTACAGGGGGCATTGGGGTAATTTACCTTTTACAATGATAGCAGCATGGGATAGATCTGTCGCACCTGCCTTTTCGCTTTTTGCATGCTGCGCACGCTTGTGATGCGCGATCGTCATCGCCCTTCAGCGTTATAGCTTCAGACATGGCTTGTGGTTGGGGAGCGTAATGGGCAATGAAAAGGGATACGAAATTGGCATCAACATCTCGGAAGTGTCGGATTGAGTTCGTGTAGGTGGGGATGCAGCTAACTAAAAATGAATGATTAGTGTTTTGCCTGATACGTCGATTAGTAGAAGGTGTAATATTATGCACGTTAATCGCCAAAAATCCGATTTTTTCCCTATATAATAACGGATTTGCAAATTTTAGCATAAATTCTATTCCATATTAGGATTATCTGATTTTGATATATTTTGAAACAGGTCCATAGCATATCGAGGTATCGATTACTTTCACTATGCTGTGTAATGCATATGGGTTCTTCCGAAGACCCTCCATTAGAAGTACAAGGCGGCGATGTAAGGGTGATCGTTATAAGCATTACTCTTAGCACGATATTTAGAAGTGAAATCTCTTCTCAGGAGCAGCTATGGAGTATTGTGGATATGATGGAATATACGTTCATGGAGTGGTTGGGTGTTGTGTCCGTAGCACGTCCGTAGCACGTCCGTAGTGCGTCCGTAGTGCGTCCGTAGCGCGCATCTGTACAAGTACTTTAGTGTGCAGCCGTAGTGTCCGATGAGAATACGGAGTACGTATACGTAGAAACTCAGTGGATGGATTTAGTAAATGGGTGCAGGTAGGTAAGTAAGTCCCTAGGTCATACATGTGGATACATGTACTTAATTTAACATGGTAAGTAAAGTGAGACAATAGATACGATTGGTTGGCAGGGAAAATTGAATATGAAGCGAACACTATAAAGACGTGCGGATTATTCCATCAAACACCAGCTACTTCTTTCTCCATCTTTCGCGATAAAATCATTGCAATAAAAAGAGAAAAGACGAAATCAGAATGGCAAATCCAGAACTTCCTGATGCCTTGGGATCTATTCCTAGGCTACCTTATCGTAATTTGGGAAAATCTGGATTGCGAGTCCCGCCATTCATTCTCGGCTGCGCTGGTTTTGGATCGTCGGAGTGGGCAGATTGGGCGATTTCTTATGAGGCGGCGATACCTATTTTAAAGGCCGCTTGGAATGCAGGTATTCAAGCATTTGACACCGCCAACGTCTATTCGAACGGTACGTATAGTATATCTCGTGCCTTATATCTTCGGTTATAGCTAACGAATCATGCTAGGCGAGAGTGAAAGAATTTTAGGACGTTTTATAGACGAGCATAATATCCCACGGCATCAAGTAGTTGTTATGACCAAGGTGCATATGCTCACGGACGATCGACCCGAGTTTGGTTCTTCCCGTATCGGCCGAGGTCTAGATGCCTCGACTTACCGGGATTTTCAGAACAACTTTGGCTTGTCTCGAACTGCCATATTTAATCAGGTTGAAGCTTCTTTAAGACGTTTACAACTGGACTATATTGATGTGCTACAAATTCATCGGCTTGACCGCAATGTTGATAAAGAAGAGGTATTATGCCATTTAACACTCTAGCACACGTTTTTGGCTAACTATCTATAGATAATGACCGCCCTTCATGATCTTGTTAAGCTGGGCAAGGTTCGCTACATCGGGGCATCTTCCATGCGAGCCGTAGAGTTCGTGCAGCTACAACATATTGCCGCGGTCAAAGGTTTTACTCAGTTCATCAGCATGCAATCTTATTACAACCTTCTAAATCGGGAAGATGATAATGAACTCAATTTCTTTGCCCGAGAAACCGGAGTTGGGCTTATGCCGTGGTCGCCCCTCGCAAGGGGAGCATTGGCTAGACTGCCGCCAGAGGATGACAGTATTCTCTCAAATCGACAAGCCCAGGAGAAAACAGACCCCAATTATGCCATTACTGATGTAGATCGGCGAGTAATCCATCGAGTCCACGAAATTTCACAGAAGAGAGGGTGGACAATGGCTCAAGTCGCTTTTGTGTGGGTTAAAGAGAAGACGACTGCACCACTAGTAGGAGCTCACTCAATTGAAAGGCTTAATGAATACCTTGAGGCTGCAAGTAAAGACTGGAAATTATCACCAGAAGAACAAGAGTATCTGGAGGAACTATACCAGCCGAAACGACGAGTTTTTGATTCTAAATAACGTATGGTAGAATTTGTTTGGATAAATAGGCACCAAATTTTACTATTTTTTTTTTTTACTCTGCCAGTTACGGCCGCCTTAGCCAATAAATGCTTGCCTTTTTTGTTGTTCAAAAAAAAAAAAAAAAAAAAAAAAAAAAACGATGTAGCAGACTAATTCGAATCAATAAGCCTCAATATTGAGAACTAGTGTGTTGCATCGGGTTGATCCCTCAGCCTGACGTTGTTTTCTTCAGGCGGTCTCCACGCTCTAGTCCGAATATAGCCAATGGTTATACACAACGTTCGAACGGCCTCCGCGCCAGTAACTCGGCTACTTTTCCCTCTCGGCTGTTATACGAGCCTAAATCGTACTAAAGTCGAGTGAAATGCTAGGATTTACTATACAACCTTCATATATCTAGATGATCCCGCGACTTCTAGCTATACGCAAACCCCTACATCCCTCGAAATGATTAGCATAAGCCCGAGGCCATCCTACCATCTTTGTCCTGATTTCCCCCATCACTCCTGTGCCTGATAGGTATATAAAACTTAGATCAAAACTTAAAAATCTCGATGTCGACGGCGTAGCGCTCCCGATGAACTCCAACTCCGCAATCGAGATCTCAGACTCAGAGATCTTCCCTCGCTGTAGCCCAGATAATAAAGCGGGCCTTACACGCACATTGAAGAAGCTTTTAGCTATCGAAAGCAGTATTTGGGCTAGGATCTTCAGCTTCGAAAGCCTTGGGGTCATCTCAGCTTATTGTGCAAACGAACCGATAATGAGACGCTCACGGCCGAGAACCTACGGACGTGGTACTTCAACTCAGACGATGAGTATATGAAAAGGGGTTTAGAGCCACCAAACATCACTCTGTTTGATAACATGACGAGAAAGAAGTTACCTTGTATATGGCGACTGGACTAAAGGTTGTGATTGGGGCGAAACCAGGCAAGACCAATGCGAATATTACAAAGGTTGGCAAAATTGGGATAACTGATCTTCAAAGGGTGGCACTTGCAGATGCCAGTCCAAGCTATACGAGAGAGGATGCCATTACGGAGGATTTGAAGGCTCTGCTCCTTTCAATTTAGATATACGCGTACGGAAGATTTAATAGAAACACGGCATCGGAAACACATCAGACAAGGTCACAGACACACCTTTGGACATAAAAGAAGAAAACCAAGGACAAGGTTTCGCCACCACGAGCGTCAGGTTCGCTAACAATTCCAGAGTTCATACAGCCGAGACCGTCCCACGGGAGAGGTTATTTACGATTAAGAACAGCGAGCTTCAAATCGAACGCTCGGACTGGATACTCTTTAGATATGGCTGTACATAGGCATACAGTCTTGCTTTTGGATAGCTTTACAGCATAAAGAATAGCCTTTTCGCGAACACGTAGTTATAAGATAGTAGGTAGATCAAAACAAGTGGGGGGATGCCGTTAAACTGAGGCGTATTTCTGCTACTTTTCCTAAGAGTGCTTAGCTTTAAATGACCGTGGCGTTGACTATATATTATGCGGTTCGTGCAAAGGGCACTTTGCTGAGATCACGGCGCTTTACATCCTATCTTACAGCCTACTCCTTTAAGCCTTAGGACGCCTCACTAGCTTCAGAGCTACCTATCGGCAATAAAGCATCTGCCGGGTCTGCTGTTAGCCAGCGCAGCTTTTCTTTAACTTTCTATTGGCGTGACCGCTAAGTTACTTTCTATTGATCACTCGCTTTCAGAGCACGCAAACCCCCTTTCCGGTTATAAGATCGGCGATAACAGCCTGTTCGTTCTCCGTGCTAACGATCTGGTCGCCCTAAGAATTATGCCGCTGGGTGCGTTAATCGTCGGAGTTGTAGGCATCGGACTTGGACATGATAATTAACACGTATTTCTCTTGTAAAGCTTCTGAGGAGCGTTGCGACAGACCCTCAAGCGTAATAGGTTCGATAGACATAGTTGGTTCTAAGCATGATGGTACCATTAAAGATAATGTAGGCCGAGCGCCCTTCTCGTTTATTTATTTATTTATTTGTTTTATTATTTACGACCTCTATGTATATCTAGATAGAAAGTCCTCTTCTAAGCACTGGGTCGGGAGGAGCCGCTTAGCGTCAGAGACCTACGTTCACTACGTATCGATAAGACAAAAGAAATGGTTTTTTAATCTAGAGGTATTTCTATTCTAGGAAGTTGGGAGGGGCTAGTCTCCTCCACTAGTTTCTGAGATTTCTTATATCCCTTAGGCCCAAGCAGGTAGTCCAGGTGCCGGACACCCATACTATAATCTTTATCCAGGATTTCGGAGAGGAAGGGTTAGACCATTTGATATTTAACGAAGTATCCCTGATTTCTGGGCTTTCCACATTTACATTGTGGTCAGGCCGAGCGCCCTTCTCGAAGTTTTAGGCCAGCCTTTGAAAAGTAGCCCGGGATAGTACAGAGGCCTGGTAACAAACTGTTAATAATGATAAAAACCATCCTGGAGATCACATTCGCCATACCTTAGGCAATTTTAATTTATCCAAGTCACTCAAGCCTAAGGTAGTTGGCATTAACATCCGATGATGCTAAAAGAAATAACAACATCCCCTACGCAAAGCAGCAAATGAAGGTTATATTAACTGGCATCTGGAAAGCAGAGGATATGTTAGATGAGCCTTTACCGGCTGGCCACCGCTTATAAAGTATGAAGAATCTCTTTATTTTACCACACGTCAGTGGAGATTCTAGTGCTTACGCCTAAAGGGTCTATAAAGTCCTCAGGCATAACCTTATTCAACTTAGTAAAGGAAGAGAGCTTATAAACAAGGTGAATAGGAATAAAGTATATTAAAAAGCTCTAGGCAATATATACCAGGGCCACTACTTATCCATATATATATTACACATTAGCTTTTTCTATAGTTAATGCTATTACTATTTACTATTGAAATATAACGTACCTCGTTGAGCAGGCGAAGCCGTTTTACAAGGCTGAATCCTAACCTATCCCAATCACTGAGGACTTAACAATAACCGGGCTCTTTTAAAACACATACTAAATAGAACTACTATTATACTCCGGTTGCTAAATTCTAACAGCAGTAAGATAACGAGATTCTCGGTGAGAGCTCCAAGATACAAGCTGTAGACTATGGCGATAAGTCAATTGCAAAATGGGAAAATGTAACGAACCGGGTCCTATAGGTACTATAGGTTAGCTGTTTCCAAGGGACAAACCTTAGAGTAGTTCTATAGTTTATATTAGCAAAGCAGTTAGGTCGGTAGATAGGTAATCTTATTACTAACTATAAAGTAAAATATTTAAATATTTAATTTAATTACTATAGTAATAATAACTAGCTATTTAAGTATTTTAATAAGTAATATAAAATAGACTTATATATCTAGTTATATATTTTAGATTATATTAGAAAGCTGGTTTTCCTAGCTTTTCTATAATAGCTTATTTAAAAAGCTAGCTTTCCTAGCTTTCCTATTAGGGAATACTAATAATCTTAATTAGTCTATTGGCCTATAGTTAATTTAGTTTTAGCTAACTTATTAACCTATTATTATAACCTTAAAAGTTAGGTTATAATATAATTCTCCCCCTCCTATTAGTTTTATCCTTAAAACTTAATTAGGATAATATATAAGTATTTACTTTTATTTTATTAGTAAGTATTATAATTTTTTTTTATTTTACCTTTATTTTTATTTCTTTATTATAGCTAATTATAAGCGTAAGCGTAATAATAAACCTATTTTTAAGTAAAAGAAAGAAAAGTATAAAAGCTTTACTAATACTATATTAAAGAATTTTATTTTTATTATAAAATTATATACTTACTATAAAAAGTAAAGCTGTAATTATATTACCTTAGAGGAAGATTTTTATTAATATCTTTTTTATATTTAAAATTAAAAATCTTATTATAAAGTATTTAATCTTACTTTATAATAAATATATAAAGTAATAACTTATTATTTAAAATTAAATAAAAAGTTAAAAAAAGTAAAAGAAGTATAGCTTAAGGCTAATACTTAAGTAAAACGTTTTTATACTTAAAAATATAAGTAGTTAAGGTAAATAAAGTAAGCTATTACTTATAGTATTAATAATTTAAAGGAGCTAAAGTATATTAAATATAAGGAGTAAAAAGTATAAAAAGCAAAGGCTACTTATTAAGTTAAAATATTATTACTTAATTTATCTAATTCTATAACTTAAAGTTCTATAGTTAATACTATTAATTAAAATACTTTTAACTTTTTTTTACTAAACTTAGACTTTAGTAAAAGTTATTTATAAAATCTTTTAAATATTTAAGGTCTTTAATAGTTTACTATAAGTTTTTTATTTTATTATAGCCTTTTTATTTTACTAAGTATTTAGTTTATTAAGTATTTTTATTAAATCTTATTATTTTAAGTTTCTTAACTTTATATTTAAGTTTTTTACTTTAAATAATAATTTTATCCTATATAACTTTACTTATTTTTTTATTTATTAATACTTTTTTTAGTAGTAAAATATAAAAATTTAAATATATAATTTTTTTTATTTCCCTAAGGTAAGTAGAAAATCTATTTTATAATTAATAGGTTTAATTTTCTTTATAACTTTATAAAGTTTAAGTTTTTTAAAATTAA